GATGATGAATATGATGATGCTGATGCTGATGAGAATAATGATTATGATGACGGTTGTGGTGGTGGTGATGATGATGGTGTTGAGGATGGTGATGACGATGATAGGATAATGATGGTGATGACGGCGATGTTGATGATAATAATAATGGTGGTAATGATGATGATGATGACGAGGATGATGATGATAAGGAATATGATGATTATGATAATGATGATGATGCTGATGATGCTTGTGATGCTGATGATGATGGTGCTGATAATGATGGTGATGATGATGATTGTGATGATGACGACGATGATGATGACGATGATGCTGATAACAACGATGTTGATAATGATGCTGATAATGATGCTGATGATGACGATTGTGATGATGATGACAATGATGACGATTACGACGACGATGATGATGATGATAAAGATGATGCCGATGATGATGGTGATGATGATGGTGATGATGATCATGACGATTATGATAATGACGATGATGGAGATTATGATGGTGGAGCTGATAATGATGATGGTAATAATTGTGATGATACTGCTGATGATGATGATGGTGATGCTGATGGTGATGATGATGGTGATGATGATGACGTCGATGAGGATGACGATGACGATAATGATGATGACAATCATAATGATGATGATGGTGATAAAGATGCTGATGATGACGGAGATGGTGATAATGATGGTGATGATGATGATGGCGATGCTGATACGGACGACGATGATGATGACGATGATGGTAATGATGAGGATGGTGATGATCATCATGATGCTGCTGATGATGATGGTGATGACGATGCTGATGGCGATGATTATGATGACAACGACGATGATGACGATGGTGATGATCAGAATCATGACGATGCTGATGAGGATGATATGTGTTATGGTGATGACGATGATCATGGTGATGACGACAAGGGTTATGATGATTATGATGACGACGATGCTGATACGATGGTGATGCTGATGATGATGGTGATGATGTTGATGGTTATGGTGAGGACGATGGTGGTAGTGATGATGATGTTGACGATGATGGTGATGATGATGATGATCCAATAGATGATTGTGGTGATGAGGATGATGGTGACGATGATGATGACGACGATGATGATGACGAGGATGGTGATTATGACGATGATAATGACGATGCCGATGATGCTGCTGATGATGACGCTGTTAATGACGATGGGACTGAAGACGACAGTGATGATGACGATGATGATGAGAATGATGGTGATGATGATGACGATGATGGTGATGCTGATGATGGTGACGATGATGATGAAGCTGATGATGAAGTTGATGATCCTGATGGTGATACTGATGATGCTGTTGATGATGACGATCATGATGACGACAATGATGACGATGATGATGGTGATGATGACGATGAAGACGCTAACAAGGATGATCATGATGACGATGATGACGATGCTGATGCCGACGATGATGATGATTACGATGATGATGCTGATGATCATAATAATGAAGATGGTGACGATGGTGATAATGATGGTGATGATGATGTTGAACATGATGCTGACACTGATGCAGATGCTGATGTTTATGCGGATGCGGATGCTGATGCTGATGATGATAACGACGACGACGCGGATGATGAGGATGGTGACGATACGGATGGTGATGCTGATGCGGATGCTCATCCTGATGCTAATGATGATGCTGATGATGGTGGTGATGATGACTGTGATGAGATAATAGTGCTGCTGAAAATGATGATGATGATGATGATGATGATGATGATGATGATGATGATGATTATGATGATGATGATGATGATGATGATGATGATGATGATGATGATGATGATGGAGGCAGCGCGAAGGTGTCGAGACCGCCCCAGACTGCTCGAAGGGCTTGTTGAGGCCAGCCAGGGCTGTCTGTGCGCAACTCGAAACCTTGCCAAGCTTGGATTCTCGCCCTCATTCTCCCCCGTGCCCCTGCTCTTTCTTCCGCGCACTCTTCGCGATTCCGTGAACCGTAGTCTGGGGGACTGGTGCAGGCGGCGTGCGCGACACCTCCTTCCCCTCCTCCTCCTCCTCCTCCGCCTCCTTCTTCGTCTGCTTCTCTTCCTCCTCCTCCTCCGCCTCCTCCTCACCCTTTTCTTCTTCCCTTTCTCCGATCGCATCGCTATACGGCTCATTCATTCATTACTGTTTCCTCTTATCCTTCTCATCTCCCCTCTCCTTCCCTTGGGAGGCAACTCCTTGGAGGTTTTTCGTGGGAGCGGATGAGGATTACAACGCCCAGCTAGAGGGTTACTAAGCCGACTTCAGCCGGACGAAGCCCATAATTGAGACTGGTCCAGTAGGATTCGGCCGGACTGAATTACATGTCGACCGAACATCTACCAGCGTCGATGTTAAACTGAACCTCCCAGGAGTTGCGCCCTGATCTCCACATTCCCCCCGCCCTTGTTCTTCTCCTCGCCGCCCACCGACGTTTGTACGGCTTAATGTTTCTCACATAACGGTAAATTGCCGTGCCAAGGCATACTGGATCCTTGGGCCTGCTGAATGGGGAGCTCTTCTTATGAGCACTCCCAGCCGAGAGCCACAAACGCTTTCTCAGACCAGGGGAAAAAACCACAGGCTTTTTCTCCTTGAACTGCCAAGCCTCCTTCTGCCGCCAGGGCTCCGCGGGTTCTGACCCCTGGGGCCCAACTCGCCTGACATGCAACCAGGCACACACGGAGCAAGGCATTGCCCAGCTCGCCTTCGGAGGCAACAGTTGGGAGGTTTTTGCCGGAAGGGCCAAGGAAGATTCAGCCCCATTTGGGGGGCTGTCACGCTGGATTGGGCCTCAGATTAAGTGGGACCAAGCCGAAATCAGCGGGATTAAGCTGGATTAAGCGGGATTGAACCAGAGAGTTCTGGATTTCGGACCAGGGCAAAATCAGAATTTGACCTCCCAGGAGCTGCATCGAAACTCGACTGGCTGCCTCTCGAAGTGGGTGAGGGCCTAAAAGGCTGCCCCTCGAAGGGGGTGAGGGCCCCAAGGCCCCACACGGCTGATTTCCTAAAGGCGCGAGACGAAGGCCAGAAATACACTCTGAGGCGCGTCTCCCAGCCGCACTCTCGGCGGCGACGACAGGGGCGAATGGCCCCTGGGGCGGGCATTACACGCATTCGCCCGGGAGCCTTTTTCGAAAACATAGATCCTCGGCGCACCTGAATACATGTATTGCTCTCCTGCGGACTATTCGCCCCTATCGTCGCCTCAGACACTCCAGGCTTGGCAAAGGCCCCCACTGAGACCCCCAGCGCAACACCTTCCCCGAATAGGCTGGGTCCAGGAACAAACCGCTTCACAAAGCCCAAGCAGGCCTGCGAATGGGGGCGTCGGCTGAAGTATCCTCAGGAGCACACTGGGAATCCCCCGCACTGTGCTGACCAGAGAAAAATGGAGGACGAATAACAACAAACGTAGAAGCTGGCGATCTACCAACGTGTAGGTCCCGACAGCATCGCTGCGTAGCATCACAGCGGATGGGTCCGGCTGGTGCTCGATCTACTTGGCGCGAGCGACGAAGGGAAGGGTAAAAGGCATCGCTGGTTTAACGGTGATCTCCAGGTGTACGCCTTTCTGCCTGCACTCCGACGACTTTGCATCCTGAGCGACGAAGCGGTCCACCTCCTCGTGCTCGGTGGGCTTAAAGAAAGCACGCAGGGCAGAAAGACGGAGATGATTGCGGGCCCCAGGGCGCCTGCACTTGTTAGTTCGCCGGCGCCAAGTGGTCCAAGACTGTCAGACGCCGGTCAGCAAGCGGTGGGGTGCGCCAGGAGCGAATGGAGGCACGAAAAGGTACCAGCACAGGCGGAGCCGTGCATGGTAATCCCGCCCGCACGCCAGGCACAATGTGCTCTGCATGTATCTACGGTCGGGGACTTTTGGACAGCGTGCCGCGGCGGCGGCCCCGACGAAACGCTATGCCCTGCGAGCGGGCAACGTGTCACTCCGCTCCGCGGGGCGGGAGGCTGAGAAAAGCTCAGGACGTTGACGCTGGGCGGCGGGCAAGCGGATAGCGTGTCGCTCGAACGCGTCGTCGGCCAGAACCTGCGGAGCGACACGCTAGGCCATAGTTCCTAACCGGATGGACTTCATCGCACCCAGGGTGCGTCTTGGCCATTTGGATCCTCCAGACCACTTCACTATTAGCAACCCACCCCCACTCATAACGCACAGAACGAGGCATCGATACGCCGCCAGCAGCCGCCTCCTGTGCCAGCCCACGCCTCCAACCTTCGACCCTAAGACGCTCCTGTTGGCACGCGCTCGCCTGCTTCCAAGCATCGCGGACACAGGCACGACAAACTTTGGATACTCGTCCTTCTCGTCCTCCTCGTCCTCCTCGTCGTCGTCCTCTTCCTCCTCCTCCTCCTCCTCCTCCTCCTCCTCCTCCTCCTCCTCCAGGACTCGAACCCCAAAGACCCAGACCCTGTCCCAAATGTCGATCCAGGAGTGCGCGTTGACCCGAATTTCTGGAGAGAGGAATTGGGGAGACCAAAATGATACCGAAACTGCCCGGACCCCTCGCGGGGTGCGTCCCAACCAAAGTTTCGAGGCGACTCCAACAGTGGCGACGAGGGCCTCCCAAGAGACCCAAAAAGGCGAAACCGGGGCGAAGGTAGAAGTATCAGTACTCTTCCCTCCCCTGAGAATCCCAGCCGTGGCGACGAGAAGCCTCCTGGAAGCCCACAGCAAGCGGAAACGCCCCAAACCCCTAGGGTGGCCTGCTGTGGCACAGGTCCCCCTTGGGGTGGAGATGGCCGCAGGCCATATCACATGGGGTTGAGGCGCTCCTTAAGCAATATCACTTCAAGTCTTCCTCCTCCTCCTCCTCCTCTTCTTCTGCTTCTTCTTCCTCTTCTTCTTCTCCTTCTTCTTCTTATTCGTCTTCTTCTTCTTCTTCCTCCTCCTCCTCCTCCTTCTCCTCCTCCTCCTCCTCCTCCCCCCCGCGCGGTCCTCCTCGTCCTGCTCCTCCTCGCCCGCACCGCCCTGCCAGCGGCGCGCGTGGTGCGCCAGCGCGTTCAGCACGGTGGCCAGCTCGTCGTTTCGGAAGTCCGCCGCGCGCTTAGCCGTGAGCGCGGCGACGGCCTCGGCAGCCCCTCGCAAGAGGAGAGGAAGGTACCCATACCGCCACCCTTCCCTCGTGTTCGCCTGTCGTTGGCCTTCTGGGAGACCCTCGTTGCCACCGCTGGATTCGCCTCGAAATTCTGGTCAGAACGCACCCCGGAAGAGGTCTGGGGAGTAGCGGCATAGCTACCTTTTGGTGCCCCCACCCTCCCCGCACTCACAGCAGCACAGATAAGAACACTGCGGGCGCCTTCTCGCCAGCATGGCTTCCAGGTTGAGGAGCCCGTCACGGTGATGAGGCCGAAAGCTTTGGAGGCCTCGTGATCATAACGCTCAGGACGTCCGAGATGTGGCTCGTGCTCTTCAGGGTCCCGACGAGCCCTCTGCAAGGCCATTCACGGCGACACTACAACCGAAAAACGGACCAAACCGACAACGAAACCGAAACGGACCCAAACCGACTGGGCCGCAGGCAGCCCGAAAGGACGCAGCGACACGGCAGGCGACCCAGCCGAACGCGCCGAACGCAGCCGACTGCGATGCAGCCGAACCGACCGAAGCGCGAACACGCCCCTGCTCTGGCACAGCAGAGCGCCTTCTCAAAAGAGCCGCCCCCGCCTGCGGGCAATCCCCAATCTGAGGTCGGGCGTGTCCGCCTACAGGCGGATCTTGGACGAAAAAGAAACCAGATTCCAACATATGCAAAAACGAAAATCATTATATATATATATGTGTGTATATCTATGTATACATATATATATAGATAGATGTACATATATTTATGTGTGTGTATATATATATGAAAATCGTGCCGATACTATTTTTGACAATTTTTGAATTTTCCTCCTGTAGAGGGACAGGCCGGACCAAACCCCGATCCTGGCACGCCCCGCCCTCGGCATCCCGAGGCCGCGGCCTCGAACGCCGAGGCGTCGAAGAACTCAACGCGAGACAGCGCGCTGGCCAGGTTGGCCGCGTCCTGCGTCTTCCACGACGCCCGCCGCTGGACGAGCTCGTGTGTGGCCTTTCTTCCCACGGCGACGACGGCGACAACGGCGGCGACGGCGACCGCGACGGCGACAGCGACGGCGACGGCGACGGCGACGGCGACCGCGACGGCGACGGCGACGACGACGAGGACGACGACGACGACGACGGCGGCGACGACGGCGACAGCAGCGGCAAGGGCGGCGACGGAGGTGACGACGGCGGCGATGACGACGACGGGGACGACGACGGGGACGACGACGGCGCGGCGCCACCCCAGCTCCGGGAAGCCTGCGCTTCTGAGCCTGCAGGCCTTCCCGCGGCTTGCCAAGCGCGTGGCCGTTGGTGAACACGTATAGCGTTTTGCGGGATTAGCGAATCTTCCCAAGGGCCTGCCAGTCTTTCGTGTACTGTGTCCACGGCGACGGTGTTCTCCTCCAGCAGCAGAGCGCTGCAGCAATGCGCATCATCCGAGTTCAGGCCACGCGCGCTTCGCCTTCGGCTCGAATGCGACCTGCGCGTTGATGATATGCCGGGGTGCCAGCTGCGATGCCATGCCTAAGTCGGACTCGATGGGTACAAACGCACTGTCGGACACCTTCGTCGAGAGCGCGACCACAGACTGGTCAAGCATCTCCTCCCACGTGGTTTCATCCTTGCTCGCGTCCACGCATCATGTCTCCCGCGCCTCGGCGACGCCCTCCCGGGGCGGCGAGCGGACCACCTCGCGGCGCTTAGACGCGCGCCCAAGACAAGCCGATCCGAAGCCCCCCTGGCCCACGACGCCCAGCAGCGCGCGGCGTCGCCGACCTCGGGCGGGCAAGCCGCCAAGCGGGGGCGCGTCGCAATCCTGGGCCTCAGCGCGGTCGTGGTCGCCGTCGCGCAATTGGCCAAGTTATCCCGCGAAGGAAGGGTGGGTGCCTTGAGGCACCTCTCGCCCTCGATGCCCATCGCGCCGCGCGTGCGCATGTGACTTGCAATGTCGTAGAGCGCCTGCCGCACGTGGCGGGCGACGTCGCCCTGCTTTCAGCTGTCCGCTGCGCTGGGGCTCTCTGGCAAAGCGCGGCTCTCGCGAGACGCCTGCAAATCGGAGACGCCCCAAGTGAACCTGAGGATCTGCGCCCTGCGGCCCCATGACCTCAACGGGCCTGTCGCGGTATACCGCGCCCCGCCGCGGCGGCGGCCGCGGCGCGCAGGGGTGTTCCGCGACGCGGAGCCGCGGCGCCCACTCCTCGATCGCCCGCGGGCCCCCCCAGCGCTGCCTGCAAACCAAGTCCTGCCCGAAGCGGGCGTCAGTGGGCCACGTGGCCCTCGGGCCCCAGCACTGCGCCGCCCTGATGGCGACCCGAGAGCTGCCCGCGAAGAACTCGACGATGTCGACGTCGCTCTTGCTCCTCCACGGGCAGCTCGACCTGGGTCGCCGCACCGCGAGGGCGCCTCTCTCCGCGGCGCCACGTGCTGGGGCCTGGCCAGTCTGTCTGCAGATGGCGCGTGTCCTCGATCAAGGCAGAAGGAGCTCCTCACCCGAAACCTCCGAGCCCCCGCGAGTTGCTCCCCCTCGCCCCAGAAGGCACCCTGCAAGTCCACGTGTGCTCGCGTCTCCGAGGGTGACTCTCTTGGCGACAGCGTTCGCCGGGGCCGCCTGGGCCTTCGCGGACGGCCCCGAGAGCGCGGCGCCGAGGAGGAAGATGAGGCGCCGGACCTTCTTGATGAAGCCCCCCATCGAGGTGGCGGATCCTTTTGACGAGGCTTGTTGGGAGCTTGCGTGGGTTCCAATATCCTGCGGCGCAACTTCGCATCCCCCCCCGTGGCGGGGCTGGCCAAGTAGTATGCCATCCACCCCATGCCGCGCGCTGCGCGCGTCGTGTAACGGCCGAACGCGTTCGCCTCTCGGCTCTCGCAGCTCTCCGGGCGATCGCGCTCCTCGGCCTGTGCGAGGCAGACTTTGGCGACCGGCGCCGCGCGGCAACGCGGCCCCCCCCCCGCCGCCGACGCACGCGCGATAGGGCAAGCCAGGTCGGACACTGCGGGCGCTGACCATCGTGCTGTAGACGGCGGAGGAACGCCGGGGCCAGACCTGTGGAGCTCGCCCTTGGGCCTGCGCGCGGCGGAGGCCGCCGGGGCCAAAAGTCACGGACGCTTTGTCCTTTGTCCGTCGGCGCATTGCCCCCTAAAAAAGATACCGCGATCTCTCTCTCTCTCTCTCTCTCTCTCTCTATATATATACATATATATATACACGCACACAGGATAACATCCAAAACAAATCATACCAGAAAAAAACCCTATCCGACTTTGCTTAGGGCTATAGGGCTATGGGGCTATAGTGCCGTAGGGCTATAAGGCTATGGGACTATAGGGCTATAGGCTATAAGGCTATAGGGCTAATGTAGGGTTATAGGCTATAGGACTACAGGGCTATAGGGCTAATGTTGGGCTATAGGGCTATAAGGCTACAGAGCGATAGGGCTATAGGGCTATTGGGCTATAGGGCAATGAATATTTAGGGCTATAGGGCTATAAGGCTACCGAGCACCGGGGCACCCAAGCACCTGGGTACCCCCGGCCACCTGGGCACCCGGGCACTCGGGCACCCGGCCCGGCCACCGAAATCGGTGGCCCAGCTCACTTAACCATACGAATCCGCTAGGACTCCTACAGAAGCAAGCTCTGATTGTTGGGGACCTTGGACTGCACTTGAGCCGCGGATTGCGTTGCAAGACGCGCGATGCGACCGAGAAACAGAAACGCTGCGGCCGCCGCGCGAGCGACGTCGCGCGCCGGGGCCGCGCGGGCGGACCGAGGTGGGCGGCGCGCCGAAGGCCCGCGGCCTGGAAGACATCCACGTCGTGGGGCCCGGCAAGGCCGACAAGGTGCCCCACGCATAGTGGAACACTTCTCTTGTGTAGCCGCCCCGGATATGCGCGGCGCCCACCCATGCAACTGGGGCGCGCGACAGTCGCGCACTTGACCCCCCTAGGCGAATGCGCAAAAAAAACATGGCAGTTTGAAATTTGCGGTAGCCAATGCGTAGCCATTTTGACAGCCGCATCTCTAGACGGCATGTTCCACCCCTGCAGTCGCCACCCCTTCGCCCCACCAACGCTTGCGTTGTAATCCCAGCGCGCATGAACGCGCGACGCGGCCACCAGCGGGCGCGGAACTTCCACGTAGAGCGCGCGCATTGCCCGATATCTGCAGACGACCGGTCCCCATCAGATGCGGTCTTACACACGCGCAATAGACTTGCACATACTTGCGCAGACGGCCCTGTCGTTCCTGCAAGGGCGGGAGCAATCGGTGATGAGCTGCGTGCCGGCGACGGTCGCCTCGCAAGCCGCGTCCATCACCAGTGGACTGCCGTGCATGGGCATAGTGTTCTCGGAGACGTTCACCGAGTGATCGTCGAAAACGGTCCTCGGCACGGCGGGCGCACCGCGTGATCCGAGCACTTCGGCATGGGGTCGATGAGGAAGAAGATGGCGCCCAGCTCGGCGACCCATGATACGCCGGCATCTCGCGCCGTCTACTGCCGCTGCTGACGCCAGGCGTCGTGCTGGAGCCAGGTCTGGGCGACGCGGCCAGCCCCGCCATCCGCGCGCGTCTCCTCGACCTCCGTGGCGCGCCGTTCGCCCTGGAAGCCAGGGCGGGCGTCGTTCTCGTCTCACGCCCAAGCTGGGCCCCGATAGGCGGAGCTGACTTGCGTGGCGCTACCTTGGCCATCTAGGGCGTGACTCGTCTCGTTCGCTTGCCGTGCGCCGCTACTAGCTTCCCCGACGACTTCATGCTCTTGCCCTTCGCGCCACCCGTCTTGCTGTGAGACTGCTTGACACCTCCACCTGGGCCGCTTCCAGCACCTTTGTGATGTCCCCCTCTCGGTGACAGGAGTAGGCGGTGCGAATCCCCTGCGCGAGTTCCGACGGGATGCCGTCGTCATAGTCGAAGGTAAGGTTCTCTTCGAATGTGTCGTCCAGAAGTTCATCGTAATGGGACTGGTCAGGATGATATTCGCAATTGTGCTTTATATACTGCGTTTCATGACCATGTCGCGGCCGACTCCATCCGCCTTGCCGGTGATACGGACGCTGCTGCTTTGGAGTCGGGTTCGTGCACGAGGACGTCGGCTGCTTCCTTGACCAGTTTCAACTTGTACTTGCCGCCTGAATTCCAGAGCATAATGGCCTTCTTGTCCACCGAGGGGCCGCTCGCCTCAAAACGCTGCATGATGAGGAAAGGCGCTTGCATATCCAGCCCGCACTCGGGACAACGTGTAGCTTGTGTAGCTGCTTTGTCCACTCCGTCTGACGGACCTACGGGCGTATGTGTTCCTGCGGGCGGGGCGATCGCGAAGAATCGGTCCATCACCGGACCTTCTTTGAGGATCGGTCTCTCGTCGAAACGCTCGAGGGATCTTGAGTAACATATTGCAGCCATCAGGTCGAACGAACTGTGTGGGCGACATGCCCTCAGTGTAATCGAGCGCCTTCCCCGAGAGCTCGCTGTACAGGCGCATGCTGATCTCTTCGTAGGTAATGATCATGGCCGCAATGACTACCCGATTCTCTGCCCGACGAACGTATCTACGATAACACAATCAGCCCTTGTCTTTGTCACCGTCGAGAGCGGGGCACGGTGGGAGGTTGCCTGTGTGTCTGCTTCTTTCTCCTTTGCCATCTGGTGCGTTACACCAGCCACTTGCTCAACCGTTTTCAGGGTAGTCCTCCTCATGTCGTGATGAGCTCGTCGCTGAAATTCCGTGCAGAGCCAATGAGCGGCGGATCCTGAGGCGGATCGTCTTCCCCTGTTGCGGCCATGACTGCACCCACGAAGCCGCGTGCAACTGTACGTCATCGAGCGTGTGTCTGGAGCGTGGGATTGGTGCGGATGATGTCCGTTTGTATCCACAACGCCACCGTGTGCCATGCATTCTCTGTCGAGGCCGCCGGCTGCACACGGCGTCCGAAGTATAATGTTAAGTCGGGCCTGTCCCCCTACAGGTGGATTGTGGACGAAGACTAAAAACGGCAGAAACATAACCAAAAATGCTCAAAAATAGTCGAAAAGCCGTCCCCAGACTATTTTTTTGAATAGTCTTCAAGATTCCTCCTGTAGAGGGACAGGCCCGACTTAAGTGTAATGGTTCGGAGGCCTCTGGGTGTGCCCGGGGGCCTGGCGGCTGCACACGCCGGCCAGCACTCACAGGGCGCCCTGCGCCGGCAGGGCGTCGGAGAAAAAGAAGGGGCAGCAGAGAGCGAGGGACGTGAGGCGGTGGGAGCAGGCGCCATGGGCAGGTCAGAACTTGCACGTACAACGAGGCGGAGCCAGCATGAGCGGGGCAAGGTAGCTGATAAGGCCCCCTGATTCGGGCAAGCAGTAAGGGTGCGCCTTTCGTGCACCTTTCGTACCCCTTCGGGGCCCTAGGGGGCTCGTTTAGGGCCCCTTTCCTGCAACCCTCGACGCCCTCAATTTACCGTCCCCCATTATCGAACGCCCAACTGATTCTTTGTTGCTATTTCCAATTAAGGTCGTTACCTGGGAGGGAGAGAACACAGGGACCATGACCAAGACTGAGCGCGGAAACGTCGCGTCGACCTTGGTCACCGTCGACCTTGGTCAGCGTCATCTCGTGGATCATCCTCGCGAGTCGGCGACGGCCAACATGGCCTATGACCACGGACATGGACCCTTGAGCGAGGGGCAAGCGCTGGTCAGTCTGTGGCCTCTGGTGGAGATTTTTTGTTTCTACCATTTCCGGCAACGATCGTTACCGAAGGGAGGGGGGCGCAGGAAACTGGAACGCTTGGGAAGGGTGGGGCACGTCGGGGCGGTGGTGGCAGCGATCGCCACAGTATGCGCGCCAGCACCCGCCTGTGGGGGTGGGGGACCAGGCCCCCTCACCTACGTGCGATCGTTACAATTACCCTGGGGCGTGGGGGAGGGTTTGGCCCAGGTAACGACCGTTACGCGCCCGAGGATAGAAAAAACAACCTCACTCTGCGCGTGGGGAGGGGGGGCACTGGGAGGAGAAACGTTGTACATCTCCTGGCTGTGGGGGTGTTTTTTCTTTGCGGGTTCTGCTCTCGCGTATCGCGACTATCACGCCCTTGAAGCAAGTGTCACACAACATGCAGCGGGCTCTGCAACATGGCCGCACGTTCCCAGCGCCAGGCCTCTGCGAACAGCGAGGGCTCGTAGAAGCCGACCTCTGAGAATGCCTGCGGCCAGGCTCCCCCTACCCCCCCTCTTCTCACTGCGCCAACCGTCCCCCGCTGCCGACCAGCCCGCGAGTGCGCGCCGAGAAAAACCCATCTCGTGATGTGCAGCTGCTGCGCTCAAAAGTCAGTCCCAACATGCCAGGTGAGGATGCAAGGCCCAATGGCGGGCGTCCGAGCAAGATGCCGAGACGATGTGGGGACGTTGGGAGGCCCGAAACGGTCCAGCGACAGACCGTGCGGTAACCTCAAACTCCAGGAGACCTCAACGCGCGCTCCGTCACCGCACAGTTTCGGAGCCTTGGAGGCCCCCAGCGCCCAAGACATCCTCGGAGAACGACCCGAATCCCAGAACCGTGCGGTCACCCCGAAGCCCCACTGACTCACCACACTGTGTGGTCGCCGCACAGTTTGGGAGGGTCCCAAGCGAGCGGGCGAGCGTCCATCCAGCTCTGCGGGTAGAGCCGCGCCCAGGGCGGGACGAGAAGAGCCGTGGCCCTCGAAGAAAAAATCAAGGTATCAGATCGCGGTCACGGACTGGTCCTTGATGTTCGACCATTGTGACCCTTGTGGAGCGAAGTCGCATGAAGCGCAGCAGGTGCCGCACTCACTTACATGCTGATGGCAACCTGTGCTGCTCTGGATAAGTTGACGTCTGCAACGTTGCTCTGCTGCGGGGTGAATGCGTGCCGAGCTTTGTCACACATGTGAAAACTCAACACTGTAAGTGCGTGGGCGTGCTCGCGCTGGAATTCGGCGCTGTCGCGCCTGTACAGGAAGAGGGGGAGGAGAAGGAGGAGGAGGAGGAGGAGGAGAAGGAGGAAGAGGGAGGAGCGTTGTGCAGAACACGACGAAGAGGATCATCGCATCCTAGGCATTGCCCCGCTGCTCGTGCTTACGCGCCCCAAGAGACGGAACAAGCCCGACATATTCGAAGCACTCCTCGCCGTCGTTCGTTATGCGCTTCATCGGGTGATGCGGCATCCAATGGATCCTGTCACTGCCTGTCCGAATTTATAGATGAAGCTCAATATCTGACTGTCTTCGCGAATTGGCAACCATGCGCCCCATCAGACTGGTAATTGCTGAATGAGCCATGCACAATCACATGACTCCGACTGAACGGAAATAGTGCCGCACTGAGAGTGGACGATGCACCAAGACCCAAGTAGCCAACATGCATCAAACCACATGCATATGCTGCGAACGACTTGGACTGCACGATTACATCAAGTTGTTCTTGACGAAGTGTTCCAAGCACATACTTGTCAAATCTGTTTTTGTAAAAACTCGAACTTGATTAAATCCAATACAATGCTAAACCACGAAATCAAACAATAAGAATGGTGCGAACCTCGATCGGAAATGCGTGCTATTCCCAAGGTCGCCAGATCTAAAGTGAAACGCCACGACAACTTTAGTGTTCGGTACTTCTTGCTTGCGCGCATCACGACCTTTGCCATTAATATGCGATAAAACATAACGTTCGTGCAGTCTGGTCGAATTGTGCCAACGCACCTAAGATCAACATGCACATGCGTCACAATCGGATGTTCCGAGAGAGCAATTGACCTGGGCACGAATTCCTGTGTCAAACAGAACCTCGAAACTCCTCGGTCATTGAAAAAAGAGTCTTCACCCTAATTCTCCCTCGGAAGATGTGGTCGCACGGGGTTGTCCGGACAACTCCGCTGTGAATAGAGCGTGCACTGCTTAGATAATGTTGTTGCCAAGACGGCCCAAACCACCGACCCATATGCTTTGTACAAGGCCAGGCGACCCATTGAAGCAATAGTCAAGTCGTACTTGTTCGCCAGAACTTTGGAATTCAACGCAAATGTCTTTAGTGATCCTTTCGTGCCACGTTGAATGTCCGTGCTGGCTCCGAAACGACATCGCAAAGAGAGCGCGAGCTCCTGTCACGCAAATGGACATTGCAACGTCTATAGAAATCTACATCTGAGACATACACTTTTGCGCACAGTTCATGTAAACCATGTGCGCAGATGGTTCCCCATGTTCAGCAAACATGGCTTCAACCAAAATGGCGAATTACGTATCTGCCATTCGGAATATTGATTGCCATGCGTGCCCAAGGTAGCTATGTCATTGATGGGCCGAAACGCCAAGGATTCCGACATCTGGTGCTTCGATGTCTTTGACACATCGGCCCCTGGGTCTCCAAACCACTTCCCCTAGGCACGCTTGTCATCCGATACGTGTTTGACGTTCCCGAGGCCCGAAACTGGCTTCCCGAATCCAACAATGGCGACGGCGACGGCCAGGCCGCTTCAATTCTGTCCAGACGCCGGATGTATGTTGATGCAAGGGCACCGTTGCAGAGCAACTCCATCCTTAAAATTGCTGTTTGCGCACTACCAGACGTGCCCGAGGCGTGTGAAAAATGCCTCGGTGAGTTTAAAGTATCGCCAGATGCGTCGTTGAGGCCTCCTCCTCCTCCTCCTCACCAGACCCCGTGCCATTGTGACAGCCTGGGGCCTTCGGTGGATACAGTCGGGGCGAACTGCACAAGGCATCCGAGAGAACACCAGACTCTTTTGAGGACAACCCTTGACCCAGACAGGGGGCGGACCGCATACTTCAACAGCAGCAACAGCAAGCGTCGTCGAAATGCGAACGCTGCCACACCCATGAATTTAAATTGACACAAGTATTGATGAGGCTAAGTGGGCGCGGCACAAAAATGGGTTGCATGTGAAAGCCGGTTTCTTCCTTACCCGGCGCGCGGGAGAGACACTCACAATGCAGAGGGGGAGGAGGAGGACGAGGAGGCGGAGGAGGAGGAGGAGGAGGAGGAGAAGGAAGAAGAGGAGGAGGAGGAGGAGGAGGAGGAGGAGGGGGAGGAGGAGGAGAAAGAGGAGCAACAGGGGGGGGAAAGACAGAGGTAGCATGACATAGGCCTGGAGCAGCGCTCAAGCCATGGAGCAGCGCTCAAGCCACCCTGCTCCAGACATTTCAAGCACACGAGACGCGATAGACAAGACACAGGGGCACTCTGGCTTCTGCAGGGTCGTCATGCTGATCAGACACATCAGGCCCAACTGCGCGGAGGGTATGGGGAGGAGAACGGCGAGAGGACACTGGACACTGGACACTGCGCGTGTTCGCCCCGCGGGACGGCCCTACGCGGGGCCAGGCGGTGGCGCCGCGGCGCCGACAAGTAAACAAAAAAAAGGAAGAGGATGGGGGAGCGGGGAAAGGCCAGGAGAAGGGAACGCTGGAGAAGAGGGTTTCGGCGGATCGCAGCCCACGCGTGACCTATTCAAATCCTGCACGAAATGCGCCCAGGGGAGCGCAAGAGCACTCACCAGCCAACGCGATGAGCTTCTCAGCAGCCCCGCGACAGCGTGGGCTCAGTCTTTCATGGTCTCCGCTGTCGCGAGTCCCTCACGCAGGCCGAGTCCAGTGAAGCTGAGCTCGAGGGAGGAGGAGGAGGAGGAGGAGGAGGAGGAGGAGGAGGAGGAGGAGGAGGAGGAGGAGGAAGAGGAGTCCGGCGCCCAGGGTCGGTCTCTCGAAGGCCGGCCGTGCATTGCACACGCCCAGCCAACGAATTACCGCCCAGACCGCAGCAACAGCTGCGCAGGAAGGGCATAGGGGGTGACTACGTCGCCTGTGAAGACTCGCGGCCCAACGGTTCCGACATGGTGCGTTGGGAGCCAAAGGCATCCCAGCCGGAACAGCTGGCACGGCATACTGAAGAGAACAAGCTCCCTAGCCCTGGGTGGGTGCAAGGCCCCTTCGGACTCACGTGGCACAAGCCGCCGCCTCCCGAGGAAATGCCGATCCCTGAGGGTCAGATCAAAATGAAATGACCGCACAGACGCCGCTACCCGCCTTCACCAGCAGGGCCACGCTGAGACTGGGGCCGTGCTACACCCAACGACGGGAGACCCGGCGATACAGGTTTCGCAACGTCCACCCCAAGCCCCAGAGCCCGCGGTTCCAGAAAAATCGGCCGGTTGCACCCCGCCCAACTTTCGAAATAAGTGCCGTGTACAGTGTGCCCCGAGGGTGCTCGGCACTGACACCATGAAAACAGGTGCCAGGCCTCACCGGAGGGGGGGGAGGAGGAGGAGGAGGAGGAGGAGGAGGAGGAGGAGGAGGAGGAGGAGGAGGAGGAGGAGGAAGAGAGGAGGAGATATGCTCCAATGCCCTTGGAGGAGGGGGGGGCTCTTCTGCTCGTGGCAGGGGCAGCTGCGGACACGGGCCCTGCTACAGGCATGGTGGCTCATGTTTGCCCCTGGGTGCTCTTAAGGCGCTCTCGCGCATCTGCCGCTGCACTGGCACGGAGCACGCTCCACACTGACATGCACCGGCATGGTAAGAGAAGCGAGAAGAGGAGGAGGGTGAGGAGGAGAAGGAGGAGAAGTTCGCGACGACCGGGCAGAGAGCTTGGGTAACATTGGGAGGCTGCCGTAGTTAACCTGCTACTGGCAGGAGCAGCTCTCAGACTCTCAGGATGCCGCTGTTCAGCTGCTCCTGTCGGGGACAGCTTGACACACAGACAAAACAACAAAAAAACAAGTGGCAGAACCAGACAGGACGAACTGTAGGAGGGGCACGAGGAGGAGTCAAGGCAGCCAGGTCGAGCGAACCAGCTGGCCCCTCATATTCCCACCCTTGCCTCGCAGAACGTACCGAGCACTTGCGGCACAACTTGATGTTGGAATTGGAACGCGCTCCCACCCGGCACCCAACAGCAGGAAGGCGCTCGCGCGCGGCCCCGCTCCCGACGACCTGTCGAAGGAAACACTGCACGGGCCGCGCTGGGGCGGGAACGTCAGAACATCCGAAGCAGAAGCCCGTCGCACGGCTGCGACCCGAGCAAAGAAAACAATCAGCGCAGCACGCTCTCTGACCCCAAGGCCTGTACCACAAGGCCTGAACGGGTCTGCTGAACAGCTTGGGATGATGTCCGAGCAATCGTATGACGAGTCCCTTGCCATGGGTCGATGACTTGACCGCTGGTCGACGTCAACCTGTGCATGCACGTCTGGAGTAAGCGGGGCTTCCCGAGGACACGGAGAGGAAAACTGCACTTGCTCTGCACTAGGTGGGAGTCCACGCAAGCATGAACGCATATGGGAAAGGTACGTGTTGGGGAAGTGGTCTTCACTACATTGTACGACGTGAAAGCAGGTCGCAATACAGCCGCACTCCTCGAAACAATTTCCACATGTGAAAACACCGCAAGAAGCAGAGAGCTCAGGAAGGCGCACACACACACACACACAAAAAAAAAAACACCAGGAATGAGTGGTCCTCGAACCATGTCTAGTTTAGAAACTACCCACCGTTCAGCACCCAATCTTGGAGGGTTGAAGTACCGCCGCAGGGGTGTTACATGGGCTCGTAGCCTCCACGCCCCACGCCACTGGGGGCGGGACATCGACAAAAAACACAGGAAGAAGCACAGGAAATCAACAAGCTGGAAACGAAAATCCGCTGGACAGCAGCAGCCTTGAAGCCATGCCGCATTGGCGGATTTGGATAGGCTCGAAGCCGCCTGCACCCCGCGTGCCCTGCGGACGGGACGCCGAAGTCGAACAAACAAAACGCCTGACTTGCCCGGTTCGTCCCAATCTTGGTCGACTGAGATACGAGACCGGCGAGCACCGACGGCAATATTTGCAAGAGCGCTGGAGCGTTGCGACAGGGCGTTGGGACGCGGTTGCAGGAATACCCAGGAGCCGAATGACCGCGGGCGCTCATTGGGCTGCTTGTGCCTGAGAAAATTGGGAGAGGGGTGGGTGGAGGAGGAGGAGCAGGAGGAGGAGGAGGAGAAGGAGGAGGAGGAGGAGGAAGAGGAGGAGGAGGAGGAGGCGTGGGCGGTTGTGCGCGGAGGGGCGGGAGGGCGGGAGGGGGAGGAGCGCCTGCAGCATGTTAACCAAGTTCTGTACCGCGAAGCGCCCCAAACGCGGCAAGGCCTGATGCCAGGGCGCGTAACAGACCGAGCCGTCCGGGAGGCAAAATATCTTCATCTACCCTCCTCTTCTTCCTCCTCCTCCTCCTGCTGCTCCTCCTGCTGCTCCTCCTGCTGCTCCTCCTCCTCCTCCTCCTCCTCCTCCTCCTCCTCCTCCTCCTCCTCCCCTTCTTCCTCCTCCCCCTCCTCCCACTCCAACTCCTGCTGCTGCTGATCACCCGCATCCGCATCTCTCCAGCTTCTCCTGCTGCCCCCTCCCTCCGCATCCTCATTCGGCTTGATTTATCATATCTTCCTCGCCCTCCTGATTCTACATGCCGTCATCCTCCCCACCCACCACTCCTCCTCCTCCTCCTCCTCCTCCTCCTCCTCCTCCTCCTCCTCCTGTTCATCTTCATCCTCCGCCGCATTCACATCCTCCTGTTCCTCATCACATGTGTGTTGCTGTTGCATATTATCCTTCTCCGCGCCGTCAGTCAACGCATACGCCGTACACACACACACACACACCTCGAGTATACACGTGGCGATTGAGACACATCCACTTCCTCCTCCTTCTCCTCATCGTTCTTATTAGGTTCATCCTCAACGTAATCCTCCCATCTCCTCCTGCGTATGTCTATCATCATTATCCTTATCATTGTCCTCCTTGTTATGCACCTCCTTATCCCCCTCATTCTCCACCTTGGCGTCCTCCTGCTCCTCCTCCTCCTCCTCCTCCTCCAACGAGTGGTGACGCTGATTATTCCCCTCCTCCTTATCATCATCAGCAACATCAGCATCAGCATCATCACCACCACCACCGCCATCATCATCATTATCAGCACCATCATCAATAGCAGCGTCATAAGCATTTGCACCATCATCAGCATCATCATCAGCAACAGCATCAGCATCAGCATCAGCAGCATCATCACCATCAGCATCAGCATCATCAGCATTAGCATCAGTATCATAATCATCAGCATATCCATCATCATCATCATCATCATCATCATCATCAGCATCATCATCATCATCATCATCAGCATCAGCATCAGCATCAGCATCATCACCAGCATGGTCAGCATCGTCATCATCAGCGCCATCAGCATCTGCATAATCCGCATCAGCATCATCTGCATCAGCATCATCATCATCAGCATCAGCATCTGCATCATCATCGTCATCAGCATCATCATCCTCAGCATCATCACCACCAGCATCATCATTATCATCATCCACATCCGCCCCGTCATGCCCCCATCCCATCGAGTAGACACGCAGGGGAATACTCCACCTCTTCCTCCTCCTTCTCGTATTAGCCATCCTTATGCTCATCCTCCGCCTGCTCCTCCCCTCTTGTCCTCCTCCTCTTCCTCCTCCTGCTGCTCCTCCTCCCATTCATCCTCCTCCTCCTCCTCCGCCGCCTAGTCCTCCTCCTCCTCCTCCTCCTCCTCCTCCCACTCCAACTCCTGATGCTGCTGCTCATCAGCATTCGCATCCCTCCAGCTTCTCCGTCCCCCCCCACTCCCTCCGCATCCTCAATCGCCTCGACTTTCCATATCCTCCTCGCCCTCATGATTCTACATGCCATCATCCTCCCCATCCGCCACCGCCTCATCCTGTTCATCTTCACCCTCCACCGCAATCGCATCCTACTGGTCCTCCTCCCATGTGTGCGTTTGCCGTTGCATACTATCCGGCTCCGCGTCGTCACACCACCCATACGCCGTACACACACATCGAGTAGACACGTGCATATTAAAACACAGCAGCGTTCTCCTCCTTCTCTGTTTCATTGTTAACATGTCCACCCTCAAGGTGATCCCCCTTTCTTCTCCTAGGCCTCCTGCGTATGCCTGTCATCAATATCCATAGCATTGTCCTGCTCGTCCTGCACCTCCTTATCCCCCACATCCTCCACATTGGCGTTCTCCTGCACCTCCTCCTCCTCCAACGAACGGTGCAACTGGTTCTCCTCCTCCGCCTCCTCATCATCAGCATCTTCCTCCTCCTCCCCGCCCCCCCCCGGGTCATCACACCCCCATCGAGTAGACACGCGGGGGGGGGCTACTCAACCTCTTCCTCCTTCTTCTCGAAGGAGTGATCCTTATGCTCATCCTCCGCCTTCTCCTCCCCTCGCCTCCCCATCCTCGTGTGTACACATGTCATCATCATGCCCGTCATCATCCTCTGGGCCCGCCTCGTCCTACACTTCCTCCTCCGCCGCATTCGTGTCGTCCCGCTCCTCCTCCAACTTGTGTCATTGCTGCGTCTCCACGTTCTACCCATAGACCCCATTATCCTCCCCTTGAGGATATTATTGCACTTGGGGGAGTGATGCACACCCCTGTCCTGCTCCTCCTCATCATCCACATCACCACCACCACCACCATCATCATCAGCATCATCATCTTCAGCATCATCATCAACATCATCATCATCATCATCATCAGCATCAGCATCATGACCGTATCAGCATTAGCATCGTCCTCATCGTCACCGCCATGATCAACATCGGCATCATACTCAACAGCATCGTCATCGTCATCATCACCATCAGCATCATTATCATTGTCTAGTCATAATCATTATCGTCACCATTTTCGTCATCATCACCATCATTATCAACAGCGGCATCATCACCATCATCATCATCATCATCATCATCACCAACCGCAGCATCAAGATCATCGTCATCGACACCGGAATCGCCATCGTCATCGTCATCATCATTGCGGTGGTCATTTAGCCGCAACATAAGTCAGAAATATCATAATCATCACCATCACCATCATCATCACCACCAGCATCATCATCAGCCCCATGATCACCACCACCACCAGCATAATCAGCAGCAACCTCATCATCACCACCATCACCATCAGCACCACCACCATCATCATCTTCAGCATCATCATTATCATCAGCAACATCATCATCATCATCATCACCGTCACCATCACCTTCACCATAACCATCACCATCACCGTTATCACCAGCAGCAGCAGCATCAACATCATCACCATCAGCAGCAGCATCATCAGCACCATACTTATCACCAACACCATCATCATACCATCAGCATCAGAATCATCAGCATCATCATGTTAATCCGCCGACCCCTTGGGGTTCATCGGCGTGTGAGATGTTCCCCCTCCCCAAACCCCTCCCCCGGGAGCCCGGTCCGGTGGATTTGGGAGGGGGGGGGGTCGAGCCGGATCCCCCGGATGGGAACGGAGGGGTCATCCGCTCCCGAAAATCGTGCAAAACCTAGTGAAAATCGTGCAGGGACTCCTCTGGTGGCCTCGACATGGCTCTGGGACGCCCAACGAGCGCTCCAAGCCGCCCAAGGTGGCCCAAAGACGGGCCACGAGGCGTCCTCGACGGCAGAAGAGGCCCCCTACGAGCCCCTCCGAGGGCCTCCGAGATGCGTTCCACGAGGGTCTCTAGACGCAAAAATTGGCCCATTCCCTTCGTGAAACGTACATTTTTCACAAATTCGGCTTTGGGCCTTTCCGATGCTCCCCGACGGCCCCCTCCCAGACGGCCCCAGGAGCCTCGCAGGGGGTGCCCCACATACCCGTAAAGGGCCCCAAGACGGGCCAACAGGCCCAAGAGGGCTCAGAAAACGGCCCCAAGAGCGCTCCAGGAGCGTTCCGAGTGGCCTCCACAAAGCTCCACACGGTCCCAGACGGTCCAAGAGCGATCACAAACATCGACGACGGCCTCCCGACGGCTCAACAGGCCCCCAAGACGGCCCAAGAGGCATCCAAGATTCGCCCCAAGAGGCCCTCTAGACGCAACAAATCGCCCGTTCCCTTCGTAAAACGTATTTTTTTCACACGTGCGCCTTTTGGGGCGCCCCCCGCTCCTGGACGGCCCCAAAGCCCCCCAAACCCGCTCCCAGACGGCCCAAGACGCCTCCAAGAGGGTTCCCCATATAGCCCTAGAGGGCCCCAAGACGGGCCAACAGACGTCCAAGACGGCCCAAAAGGGCTCCGAAAACGGCCCCGACAACTCTCCAGGAGCGTCCCGAGTGGCCTCGAAGAGAGCTCCACATGGCCCCCGACGGTCCAAGGGCGATCAAAAACACTGACGACGACCTCCAGACGGCTACAGAGGCCCCCAAGACGCCCCAAGAGGCATCCACGATGCGCCATAAGAGGGCCTCTAGACGCACAAAAACGCCCGTTCCCTTCGTAAAACGTATATTGTTTCTCGCACGTGCGCCTTTTGGGGTGTTCCCCGCTCCTGGGCGGCCCCAGAGCCCCCCAAGACCGCGCCAAGACGGTCCAAGAAGCCTCCACGAGGGCCCCGCGACAGCCCACGAGGGCCCCAAGACGGGTCAAGAGGGGCCGAGGACGGCCGAAGAGAGCCCCGAAGACGGCGCGCGCGCGCGACTCGCAGTCAAATTCCTCGCAACTTGCGTTGCTTCCCGCCGTGCTCGTCACTTGCTTCCGCAGGGCGTTTCGGCGGGTCTCTTCGAGGCGCCCGTCTCGCCTTATAGCACTTGGCGCAAACCACCAGATTGCCTCGGTGGAAATAATTCTTCGTCTGGTCTTTCGAGAGATGGCCGCCGTCAGTGAACGTTGGCTTTCATCCGTACTTTTTCACGGGACACGCGGAGCATTCCAACTTCTTCGCCATCTGCCTTTGCTCGTGGCACGCTCGGCACACCACCGAGCGATGGCCCGAACCCTTCCTGAAGAAGGCGTTCACTTGCTTATCTGTCAGATGCGTCCTGTCCGTGAATTCTAGCTCTTTCCCATCTGCTTTTTTCGGGCACGCGGAGCACGTGAGCACTCGCGACTGATTGCGTTCTTCCTGGCACGCGCGGCACATGACTGGGCGATGGTCCGAACCCTTCGCGAAGAAGTGCTCCACTTGCTTATCTGTCAGATGCGTCCTGTCCGTGAACTCCCGGCCTCTTCCATCTGCTTCTGTCGGGCACGCGGAACACCTGAACACCCGCGAGCGCTTGTGATGCGCGTCGCACTCGCGGCATTTCACTGGCCTATG